TACCCCAATGGCACATGAACCAAACGCGAGGCATCCTATGGGAAATTACTATCGATTTTTGAGACACTATGTTAGAGATCACTGGTGAAGCAAAAGGTAATGAAACGAAACTTAACGAAATAATATGTTAAGGAAACCAACTAGGTTTATTTTAAAGGTCTTTAAAATTGAAGAGCAGATTGTGATGTCAATAATTCACCCACCTAAAAAATTCAATACTACCAAAACAGTTTATACTTCGTCACTAAAGATGCTGGTGAAATGATTTCACCACTATTGGTGTTAATTGGTGAAATTAGTCATCATAATGATGAATCCTCGAATTTCAAATTTCGGCCTATAATCTCAGCCCATAGAAATCTATACGAAATTCGTGGCGATTCATTATTTTTGAATTATCCTGGCGTTTATTTTACCAGCATTAAGATTAATGCTGGTCAGTTTAACTGATCACATGACCTATCGATGACAAGTAAAATGTTGCGAGATAGCTACAAAGAGCACCTTTAGCACTGTCATCAACGCCTGAAAGTAGTCAAAATGAATACGTGATCTTTCAAGGTGGAAAGATAATTATTGAATATTTGAGTCGGTCAATTATTGACATCCAAATCTGCTCAGCTGGAAATTCTTCAATTTTAAAGGCTTTGTCCATTAATTCAACCGAATTTTCGTTTCGCATAACTTGGTGCTTCAAAATTCCGGTCGGCAGGTCTGATTTTTTATTTTTTATTTTTTAACCTACTGTTTAGTAATAGACTTATGCTTTCGCAAATGTTTTGCAAAACAGAATCAGAAAATTGGGTCAGCGATCTTTTTTTTCTTCGTATATTTCCGGAAATTAAGGTCTTCATCGGAAAAAAATAATATAAAAATAAATAAACAAATAAATAGCAAAAATAGAAAATTGACACAATTGAGACAATTGAGACTTTAAAAAAAAAAAAAATTAAAAAAAATTGGTCGGCGGGTTATGTACTGTACGTGGCCTTAGTCTTTCAGATGCATGGATTAATGCATTAATCACTTGGACGCGTCGAATGAAATTTTATAACATATACAAAACGTAGTTATGATCAATTAGGACAGTCGGTTGAGAGGGCAGCGCATTTACGCTCAGATTAAATAAAATAGTTAAACTACATAAAATATCACGTCGTTCTGGATGGAATTATGTAGATCATTGGCCAAAATTATCGAGAATGTATTAATGCCGGCTAAATTAACGGTTAAATGTTTAAGAAAAATTCAATCTCTATATTATGCAGAATTGAGCCTCATAATGTTTACCACAAGATTATGCAGCCGTCAAAATGATAGATATTAACGAAAGGAAATTATCACAGTCAGGAGAACAACGAATGTACGTACTGGGTTTAGCTTCGATAATGAGTGTGAGTCGATATGTTATAACGGACCTTTCTATAAAGATTGACGAAAGCAAGCATCATTTATTAACGCTTAAGGGTCGCAGAACTCTTTTTTAAGGATAAACCGAGAATATTTGTATATTCACGTATCTCGCTGTTTTGGCCATGCGTCCGTCTGAACGTATAAGTATACATTTTGTCACATACATGGTAATCTTAATTCAGGTGTTTACATTATCTTCAAGCGATGGTCTGATAACCTCATCCCTTGTATTTTTTTTTTATACCCTCATCATCACCAGTCGTCTTCCGCTACATAATAAAAGGTCGTGGTACTAACAAAATTCAGCAAATATTTGTTAGAGGTTATATGAATTTGCAGCATATAGTAAAATTTATTAAGAAAGTCTTAACGAGAGAACGCAGCAGTTTTCTAATAAATTTCGATTTACCGTATAAGCGCGAATAACGCGCAGGGGTGTAATTTCGAATTTTGGCCTAAATTAGGGCCATTATTCAAAACAACGCCCGTGCGTTGTTTCGCGCTTATACGGTAAGCGGGTTTTGCTTCACTAGTCTTAAATATTTTGATGGTCTGAATTTGGTGGCGTATTCTGAATACTTCATCCAAGTTTTCGAGCATAATGATCATCTGGTTCGGTTTTATTTATTTTTTGCTTAAACGATATAAGAATTTATATTCTTTTGAGCCGAAGAGTATACTTCAATAACTTTGGACACTACATCTCTACATTTCATAGCATTCATTTAGGCACAATATTACAGAAGACAGAACGCTTAAGATAAATATTTGTACGAAAATGGAGAATTTCGACAGTGCTTTCGTTTGGCGAAATTTTTTTTTTTGAAGGTTAAAAACATTATATATGATTTTTCTTAACATGTTGCAATAATTACTTAGATATAAATATCAATTTACATACAGAATTTTAATATCGGTACGCCAAAATATATCGGTAACAGGAACACCCGTCCTCGAATTATAGAAAACATAAAGTTTTCGGATATTTATTGCTCCTGACTTACCTTATTGCTTTTCTCATAAAACGAGGACTACACGCACATATATATATTCGTTTACATGGCTATGTTATATGAATCCGCACGCTAAAAAAAATAAAATAAAAAAAAAATAAAAAACTAATAGCGTCATTAGACCAATAGTGCTCAGTAGTACAAAAGTTTCGATCTTAAATTTTCAAATTCGAATTATCAAATAGCGAAATCTTAATTCACAAAACAATGTGGTCGCGTTTCCACGTGGAATGTGCAGTCCTTATATCCTGTCAGATATTAAACCAATATCGATCTAAAATTAAAAGCGAAAGAAATGGATTCGAGTAACGAGTTCAAAGAAATTCATAAGTATTATGCAGAGTTTCATTTTCTTCCTTTAATTTTTGTCATGGGATATTATCAACAATCGTGTGAGACAGGAAAAGATGGATCAATGTTGGCAATTTATCTATTTTCAGTAATCTAACCGTACCGTCTTAAACACGTGAAAACATTAATTCTAGGATCTTATGGATTATCCCTAAAATCATATATATATATATATTAATCTTAAAAGTACACGAGATGGCCTATAGCATATCAGCGGATTTGCGGAATGGATCTAAATTAGAGTCCCTGGATTTTACAATTGCAGGATGCATAGTATCTGAAATTTCTACAATCGCATTGTCAAAATATATGGACCTTAATTTAGGTCAATTCCGCAAATTCGCCGATATGGTTATATCGTTCTATTTAATCAATTTCGGTATTTTGGTACGCGTTCTGCCCGATTCATTGTATCTAATACTGCTATAGTTACAAGTTGAATCGATATACTAGCAAACTATAATTTCCTATTCATAAAGCTACGAGCAATTTTTCTGTAATTATGCTCTACGGTAATTAGACTTTTTGACAGTTAAGTACGATTAATTTATTTATTTATTTTTTTATTAATCCACTAACTTATTTAAGTTGTTTGGTATCTCCAACGAATTAAATAGTGCTTGGAACAGGCTTATTTTCACCAAACTCTAAGATCGAATTCCTATTTTATTTTTATTGCATAGTCATAGAGGTTTGAAACACCTAATTTATTTCTCTACAATTGCGAAATTAATTTATAAAATTGTAAAATTATTTTCTGCCGTCATTACAGCTGTTTTCATAAAATCTGGGATAAACGAAAATTTTTTGATGCCCGAATCGATAGATTATTAACTTAGGCTAACGCGTAACTCCGATCCAGTCATTAGCAATTCTTCAGCTGCCCCAGAACTTACGAAACCAGTTGTTTCAGGCTAACTAATTTCTAAAATCCAATATTCTGTAGTTCGCGGAGCGAAGTACAGTAATTTTGCACTTTTTGAAGTCAAATATTTCGCCATCGTAAAATAATTTTACTCGTCGAACTCGCCCGAAACACTACGCTATTAATTTAAGAATCTTTTTAAAAAAGTTTTTCTCTTTTAGATTAAGGTACGCTTTTAAAGAATTTCGTAAGGAAAAATTAATGGTAAAATTTTGAGTTTCCAACCCTTTTTTTTATTTTTTTTTTTTCGCGTTCATCTGAAATCTGATTGGTCAATAAAATTTCTAGGATGATAATGCTGCTGTGGTTATTGAACCTAGGTAACACACAAAAGAATGCTGCATATCAGTTTGCATCTATGTAATTTTTTGTGCAGACTATTTACAATTTTTAATTTGGACTAAATTAATTTTTTTTAAGACTTTAATTTGGCACGCGTACGCTGCGACGCGTCCTAAAATTAGGTGTAACGCGATAAAAAACTACACGTTAGTTTAGGATCTGGGATTAGGGTAGAGAATAAACCATGTATCTGGACCAAAATTTTGTAAGGAATTTTTTTTAGAATACAAAGAATGAATTGTAGACAAATTATGAGCTATAGGTAATTTTTCTTGAAAAAAAAACGCTTTCGATTTCACGTTAATTTAATGCATCTGAGCTAAATTATATAAACCTTTGGAAATTTAGGATACAGGCTCACTTTTAATAAAATTCCCAGAATGTATTACTTGATTAATAAATGACTACGAGTTCAGTAAAATTTTAAATTTCAATTTTTGGTCGATCAATGCCGAGCGCGCGTATGTCGTCATCATGTAACACGTAAATATCAGTTACTATGCTAACAACTCTTAGTTGGCCGGCTTAATCAACAAGGACGTGTTAAATATTTATGGCACAGGATCTTATGGCTTTTAATAAATAATTTTTATGTGTATAGTATTTTTATTTTCAAAATGTAGCACGCGTATGGTAAAATTGATGTGAAAGTTATGTTTTTGATGCATCAATTGTTACGTTTTTGATCTACTGCATTAGATGTTTATATTAATACATCAAAAACGTAATTTTGGAAGCTTTCACACGTGTGTTTATAATTTCGGACACTATTAAATTAATATAATTATTAATAAAAGACAGGCACTTGCGTCTTTTTTTAAAAAAATTAATTCACCATCTTTTATATTATTTGGATAAGAAACTAACGTTAAACAGATGTCGCTTAAAGCAAAAATGGAAATTAGACAATGCAATAAGTCATAGAGACAAAAATCACAAAAATCGTAATTCAATTATTATGTCTCAAAATAGGAACACCATTTGTAAGGCTTGGCGACAACACCTCGCATCTTTCCACCACTCGTAAAAGCATTTCCTTTCCTGCACCTCGCCCATGGATCAAGATTACGGATACACAACAATTAGATGGCTTTGACATGTAATTATAGAACAATTACTAATCTTATAAATTATGATAAGTTAATGTTTCTATGCAAACCTCATGGCAGGCATATTTCGCAAAGGACTAATTTTAATGTTTAATTGCCATTTTTGAATGCTGCGAACCTGTACAATTTTAAAATGTCCAATTTTAAAACGACCTCAAAGATCGAAATAGATGGATATTTGCCTGATCTTTACGGAAATTAATAGATATATCAACTAAACCTAGTAAATGAGAACATTTTTGAAATTCTAATGTTCTTATTCAAAATTAGTTCTTTGCAGGGTACTATATTTTCGCCGAAAATTGGTATAAAACAATATCGTCTTTTGTAACATGCTATATGATTGATTCAATATCACGTTCCGAGGAATTTAATTTTTTCAAATCACATTTAAGTTGCCGAATTTAATAATTTAGACCCATAACGATAATACGGTTAAGAAAAGTATCGTGAATAAACATCTTGTTGAAAATTTTTGAGGAAAATTACTCGGTATAGTAAGTCGAATGATACTAAGATCATTATTCGAACCCAACCACTAGATCCCAAATAATTCAAATTAACTTCAAAATTTAATTAGCGTATTGTCGCGAAATAACGGGCATGGGCTTTATTTAGAAGTTGGCCCGAATTAAGCTTAATTTAAGCCGAAATGTGTAATTTCACTCCTACGCGTTATTTCGCGACAATACGGTAAGATTTTTATTTGCGATAGGATCTTTTCCCATGATCTTATTTTACTATTATTTTTTTAAAATTATGTTTTCATTTAATAACGCGATTTGCAAATCGCAAAACCGCGCGTTCCTGGATGACGTACATAATTCCTATGTAATCAACAAAGTCAACATAGCATAATGAAATTATTTACAGTATGATCAAATAATGTCCAGGAATACGATCCGAATTATAACCTGAATTAAGCTTAATTCAGGCTTTATTCGAATTAACGCGTATGATCATTATTTGCGGCAATACGTAACTATAATGGTTGAGTATTAGTGCTGACCGACTTTGTTCTGTTATATTTGCCCGCCCATTAAGCATAGCGAGTCAAATTGTTGATAAGCACTTTTGTTGGGATGGAAAAGTTTAAAATTTGCTATGATCTATTTTTAATGCTCTAAAAAATTTTTCTTAACATAGCTCCTACTTTGAATGCTTAATGCAGGCCGTCGTCGATCAATCAATCCGAATTACAGCTGTTCTTATAAATTCTGGGACAAACAAAAATATACTACACTCAACCTTATTTAAATGCATAGTTGGGAGGTCTATACGAAACATTAGAGAATCTTGCATCTAGAGAAACATTGCATTCAGGGAGATAAGTATCTTATTTTTCATAGATTATGCATTTTAGGTGCCTGACTGAATTTTTCACGTACAATACATATAATACTGAAGTGGCACATTGAAAAACATAAATGTGGCCTGATTATACTACTTATTATTTAGGCAGTCAAAACTAAAAGTACTGTAGTATTATATAATGTGACGGTCATTACAAGTTTAGAACTTTATTTTTCACATAGGCTGCACTAAATATGCAATTTTGAGTTGCAAATGTTGGAATTAAGTATAGAATATTGACAAGATTAAAACAATTCGAATGTTCCAAACCAAGTTATTATTTACATCACATTAATTCCGGTATTAGCTTAATTGGGAGAACATCATGAAAGGAAACATTTAGCATAGACGAATCATTATTAGGAACGATTTATGAGAAAGTTTAGAGAGTGGACAACTTCTATATCTTCTATTCTGCATCGAGGTGGAGAGCTAGCATTTATATACATGCGCAGAGAGACATAGTATGATTTATTTTTAGACATTATAGTGATGGTCACCGCGCAAAGCTACCCGAGATTTTTAGTGAATGGAGTTGTTAAATGGAGGTGCTGATTGGGTTGGGTTCAATTCGTCCTGGGTTCACGTTTCCGGTTTGATTTTAGCAGATGTTCTGGAATATTTGTAAAAAAAAATTACATGTAGTCATTTCGATAGATTAAACTGAGCTAGAATAAGTTTAAACTATCTTTTTTATTCATAATTAAGTAATGTAACATTCATATATTTTCATGAATTTCTTTTTGCCAAATTATTATAGCGTCGAATAACCTGATTTATACGTATCATAGCTCCAAAGTGGAATAAGATTTAAAAATATATTCACTACAGAATAGTATTCACCTTAACATAAATTATCTGAGGTGAAAATAAAATTGAGATTTAATTGCTATGATAAATTTTATGAGCCTTAGTAAAAAGTGTAGTAGTAAGTAAAGTTCAAATTTTATTTTCAATATAGATATAGGAAGAATACTTTCTTGAAGGAGTGTATATAGTGACTGGAACTAACCCGGAGTACACTGCTTCATTTAACATCTAATCTATCAATGATTTATAGAATATTCACAGAACGTCCAATTCAGATCAGGAGTTGAAACTAAGAATAATGTGCACAATTTTGGAACATTGGTATTCATCCACAAAAGGCTGAATAATATTCTCACGGCTAATGTGAAGATGAGACTCAGAGAAGACCACATGACCCGTAATTAACTATGTGAACAACGCCCATACATTATTCTGGCTACTGCGATACAAGCGGCGGAGATTTAGTAATGACTTTAGCACCAGGCGTCCATAAATAACCCGAAAGCTTTTAAGGGAATCGTATGTGCAGTGCAGTAATGATAAGATCCGTAATTACTAGTTACCCCAGTGACAAAACATTATGTGTAACTTCCGACTCTGCACTAAGGAACCAAAGATACCTATATAATATGGACTAGAAATTATAGTATTAGGGGGAAGTGATTAATATAATTTTACTTAGGCGCAATAATATACAATTGCTGCCACTTATGAACAATTTAGTAGCTGAGATTCTGTTTAATCATTGGGATTTGGGTAACGCGTGACGGATACTTTTAATTTATTTTATTATCTTTATTATATTAAATATATTATTTATTATCTTCTATATTTACCCAATCCCGTGTATTTATTTGTCGAGTCTCCTGAGTTGTTGGTTTGTTTATAGGCTGGGCTATTTTGTGGAGTTGGGATTAGGATGGGCTGATGTGTAAACATTTTGACAGATTGTAATATTGCATATGTGTCGCGAACTGGATGAAGGACTCGACAATCAGAAAAATAACAGAAGAAGAATATTGTATAATCTCTTTTATATGCTGACAGAATTATAAAAAACCCTCTTGTGGCCAGTATAAATCTATTTTTAAATATGTTTCAGGGTAACCAATCGATATTTTACCAGTATAATTTGGTTGAAAATCATTCTCGGAAGTATTGTGATCCTTGATGCGATACAAATTCCTTGAAATTCTAGGAATTCTATAATTCTTCAAATTCATTATATTTGGTGATGTCATAGGAATTTACAAAATAAGGGAATTCATAGGATAGTTTGAATTAATATAATTGTAAGAATTAGAATTCTTGTTATTCTGTAATATATAAAAATTTGTATAAAAATAAAGTTTCTCTTAAAATAAAGGCAGCATGGTTTTCTAAATTCCAAAATTTTCTAAATTCTTTAACATAAACTCAGAATACTTGATTTAAAGCATCGTTATATTTCTTGTCTTTGTAATTGTGAAATTGATAACATAATCACAATTATAAGATTATTAAATTGATTAACTGCACAATTAATACTAGTATAATAGATGGCACTTTGTATTACCTACGTATTTTATTCAGTATTCTCGTTTAGTTATTTACTTATCTGAAATTTTGTTGTTAACTTCTGTATTTATATATTATAATATTAATATAGAGGCATACCTTGCCAATTATTTTTTTTAACTTTTGACTAAATTCGATGAATTTTTTTAATTGTAAAATTTGTAGAATTCAAAAAAAAGAAAAAAAATAAGAAAAAAAAGAGGGTCATCAATTTGGTTAAGTAGGTTTGAGATATTTTTAATTAATTTTTTGTAAATTTAAACATCTACATGTATTAAAAAGAAGCTATATTGAAATTTGTATTTTAGAATCTACTTAGCCAAATTTTAATAATAACTTTATATTTAAATTATAATGTGTTAAACATATTATAAATATATTGTTGCTATATTTTATTTATTATTAATTTTAATTATATAAAAAAATATATATTTAAAATATGTTTAAAAAATGTTTAAAATATTATATTTTTAGTAATATATTAACAATATTTTATTTATATTAGTATTATATAATAATAATTTTATATTTAAATTATAATATGTTAAACATATTATAAATATATTGTTGCTATATTTTATTTATTATTAATTTTAATTATGTAAAAAAATATATTTAAATATGTTTAAAATATAATTATTATATAAAATTTTAAATTATATTGTAAATATAGATTATTTATATTGTAGTTTTATTATAAAGATATTTTAAAAAATTAAAGTTTTTGTAAAGTAAATTAATACACAGCATTTCAAATCACTTGAATTATTCTAAATCATAGTTAGTAAATAATTTAACTCTATTTGAATTATTGCAAATTAATTATAAAATATACAAACTATTCAAAATTAACATACATAAATTAAATTCATTATGTTAACATTATTTTAAGTTTTATTATGAATAGTAGTAGTGAAAATTTATTTATATTATTTCAAATGATTTGAATTAATCCAAATATAATATAATTATATCAAACTATTTAAATATATAAAAATATTTCAGAATTTAAAAAAGTTCAATAATATGTATTTATAATAAAATTAAAATCATGTGATAAGTTCTAAGTATTTTACTATAAATAGAATATAATTAGATCCACAATCAACATTGTTGTGATAATTTAAGCTTTTCGCAACAATTCTAACAAAATCAAATAATTCAAAGTTTACTCAAATTACACAAACTAGTTTTTGTTTTAAAATTGTTTTATATTCAAATTTTCTTTACTACTAAATCTTTTGATTTATTTTAGTTTTTTTTTATTTACTTTTAAATTTTTAAGTCTTTCATTTTTTTTACTAAATACTATACTACTAACTTCACTTTAAGTTTTTTTATCTTTTTTAAAAATGAGTAAAATGAGTAATATATTATTTATAAATTTATATTATTCAAATATTTAAATATATAATAAACAATTACTAAAAATTTTTAAATTATTTTAGATAAGTTTTCAGGTCTTAATCTTACCTCAAAGAAAGCTACAAAGAAATCTCAAAAGAAGTTAACTACAAAGAAAGCAAGCCTTAAATCAACTCATAGAACTGAATTAAGTGAAAGTTTCTACAATAAAGTCAACAGCATTGAAATTGGACTAAGTGGAACTTCGACTTATTATAAAAATTTGAATAGTTTCAAATATATTTAAAATTTTTTAACATTATTTAGATTAATTTGAAATTACTGAAGATTCTCAAAATAGTGAGCAGAGGTGTTAATTTGAAAATCACACACTCTAAAAATAGTATCCCTTAAACTGTAGAGTTTGTGTAATAATTTTAGCTTAAAAATAGCATAAATTTAGTTATGATCTATTTTTTTTAATATTTAAAATATTTAAATAAAATTTCA